ACATCTGGTGAAAATTTCATGTCATTAGCACCTCTAGTAATATATTTACTGAGAAAAATGGTGACGTGTTCAATACTTATTTTACCCGCTGTATATATAGTAAAAACAAGGCAGTTTTTACTGAACAAACATCATTAGGTTGATACCAAAAAAAAAACCAAAAACATTGCATTTTGAAGAGACAAATGTACACAGTATTTACACATACTAACTCCAAATACGCATATATTGTACAAACTGAGTGATACATATGTGCTTGGTTGTTATACAATAGAATCCCCGAACCATCGCTTATATTTTCGGTCTTATATTTCATTCAACGTGGTATTAAAAAKSTCTTAAAAAGTCTTCAATTTGACTTGCTAAAACCTGCAGATACCCTGCAAACTTTAATGTCCACAATTATTATCAATCCAGTTTAGATCATCTTTAGTAAGAAATTGTTGTATTTAATTAAAACAAAACTGTTAATAAACCTGCAGGAGCTCTGAAATATCCGTCTTTACTCCATCTTGGCTCACTTATGCCCCCCGCCACCCAAGTTTAAGGCATTTCTTTAGTAGATTTACTCATGTGGAGCAGCTTCTGCACAACATTTTCCTGAGAATGGGCAGGTCCTAGAAGATCTTTGTTAAATTAGCAAGACAGAATGTGCAACCACTGTTCCCGTCTTTACAGGGAGAAAAAATGAGTTTCCTCTAACTCCTCATAAAACAACACAAGCCTCTCTTCAAATGATTAACACATCATTGAGTGAAAAAAAAAAATCTATCCTGTTATCGTTATTTATATGCTTAGCTGTATACTATGTGTGCTACATTGGGAGTGCTGTGGGAGAGAGTATKATGATTTATCCTTGGTCTCCAGTATGAACGCTCAGTTAGAAAAAGACGTCAAAAATCACTGATTTGCTGTCTCATGTCTTGTGACAGTATAGAGCAGATTTTAATGCAGATAAAAGCAGAGCAGACTACATCCAAGAGTGAATACATCTCAATGTGTTTTGACCGCAGTTATATCTGTGTCTAGCTCTGTCCAAATGTGATCAGATCCGAAGTGCAGCTGTGTTTAGAAACATTTCATTTAGGACAGAGATTCTTAACCCATGGGCCGCRAGCACCACCTTGAGGGCCTCAAAAGAACAACAGTTTTTAACTTTGGGCCGCAGAGGGCTGTGGAACTGCATTGAATAAGGTGCAATACACTTTCTCACCACTAGTAGCAGTAGTGCGCCATCCAGATGTTTAACAACTTTTTTAATATGTAGAAGAACCTTAGGAACCTGCTGAGAATGGAAACATAGGCTGTGTCCAAAACGACAGGCCGGGTCCTCCGGAGGACCC